AGTTTACGAACGCGCAAAATAATTCAGGATCCTGAATTTTTTTGCGCGTTCGTAAACTTATAAAAAAAAAGTGTCGCAACCTCAGTGCTCCCGACTGTACGTATGTGACATGTAAATGGCTATTACAACAACTGTTATTGTATTTTAACTACATGTCATTCATCTCGCACAATATTACAGTAAGAAAAGTTTATATATCAACTGCATAAAATGTATCAATAGCTTTATCACTGAAGTACACTAATATATTGTTCATAACATCTGCTTTCGTTACTTTCATCTAAAAATAAAAGAACATGGACTACATAACTATTGATTTTATCGAGTAAGAAATATGGTTTAACAATTATTTTTATGTAAAGAGAAAAATAAATATAAAGTCAAAACTCACTTTATTCTCCATTATTGATATTCCAGGCAGATTAATTCTATGCAGCGTACATAATCCCAACTTCAAACCTCCTTCTATTAACATTTGCTTGTGCAACACTTCATAAAACGTTTCTATGTCTTCACGATCAAGGGATACATTAACGTTGGTATCTTGATCTTTAATAATGCTGCAAATCAACAAATAAATTAATAATAGCATAGAATATATGCTACAAATAATACTCAGTATTTTTCGCATAATTAAATGTTTAACATCGTACACCGATAATATTTTTTTCAGGTCTTCGGTGTGAAATTTAACTGTAATGGTATCCGATATTGGTAATTCTGGCACCGTGTATTGCATTTGGACTTCACCAGAAATTATTGACTGCTCCTCTTTGTCGGTTGACATAATTATAATAGGAATCAGCCAGCTCAAGTCATCCTCGTTAGCTGATAGTGCAACTACCGAACAGTCGAACATACGACTGATGATGGCATTCACCGCATCCATACAGTTGCGGGTGCCACGACATAACAGAAGAGGCAATTTTATGGAATTCTGTATACTCGACTCAGTCGACTGCATCCTCCAAGATAATAATAACCCTTTATAAATGAGTTTCTCCACTTCTTTCTCAGGACCACTGGTTTTAGCTACTACTTGAATCTAAAATATATTTTAAACAACTTTAAGTCTTGTATCTCTAATGTTCACGCTTCGAATATAACGTCAAATAAGAAATCAAGAATTATTAAAATCGAACCCCGAGCGCTAGATAGTCCTCGTGATTCGATGAAGACCCTAAATTTTGCGTAACAGAAAACTTGGCGTCGTAAGTCACATTTTCGTGTGACAAGGTGCTCGCAACCTCTTCTCTTAATTTCTTTGCGTACAGCTTGAGATGGACGTCATCCCGCTGAAAGTCAAACAAAGCGGATGCCGCGTAAATGTTCCACGTTTGGCCTGCCAAGTCTGTGAAGTTAATTTATTTGTAAAATTAAAAGAATTAAATTCATAGAGCAATTGAAACGCAATGTTAACGCAGATGTTGATAACGTTTAGGCCCGGTCTACACAGAGTTGTTAGCGGCTGGTCAGAAGTCAGAACTGCGATCGGTCCTTTTTCTTCCATCCAAAAAGGAGGAGGATCAACATACACTTCCGACTTCTGACTAACTCATTGTGGGGCTGCGTTCGGAAACATTTTATCTTATCTGCTCACCGAGTGGCAAACTAGAGGTGCTTTCCAACAACGTACACAGGCGACACTGTGTAACGCAGTGAATCGTTTTATCTTTCTTCGCCGTTGTTAAACGAGGATAAAATGATTTCGTGCTACGCTGCGTCAGTCGGTCTCTTGCTGGAAAACACCCAACGATAAAATGATACACTGGGATACTCGAGTGACGTTTCCGAACGCAGCCCAGAACCGGGCCCTACGCTGGATAACTGATTGCGACACATCAAGATCGAACTACATGACAATGCGTCGGAAGGACAACCTTCTCGCGATACATTCCATCGTTAAAAGTCCACTCTCTAGGTTTTTCTGCTCCGATACGGAGAAGCACGTTGTACCTTCCAGTATGTCTGTATTGTCCTCCTCCGGCATGATACCCAAGCTGAACCGTTGTCGCTCGCGCATTCGCGGCGTACGCGGGGTATACATGACGTTGCTGGCGTTACTGCTGCCCGGCCTAGAGGTACTCTCCGCCCGGTTCATCATACGAACGAAAGATCGCCCGCAGCGGTGGAGAAGTAACGTGAGATTGACAGTTCTTTGGTCGCGGACGCGGACAAGAGCCCGGCACAATTGGCGCGAAGCTCGCGCAAACCGCCAAAGCAACTTCGAAACGACAAGTGAAAACCTCGTCGAATTTGAGCGCGTTGCGCGTGCGGCACGAAGCGCTTTGATACATGATCGGCCATCGCGCTGTATTTTCGTGAATTGCCCTTCCATTTGCGACGCATTTGCGGGACGACGCGACGCGTGCTTCCGCCGGTAAAGAAATTCACGAAAGTCGCTTTAATTTTTTTTAAAACGGTTCTACAATTTTGCGCGCGATAGGTTTGTTTTCTGTTCCTGCACCGGTGAACTAGTGCAGTAAGCTAGAATGAGGAAAAATATGTATCTTACTCTAATTTACTTCTTTTAAGCCCGCTGCAGACGATGCTATTTTTCCTGCTGGATTGCTTGTGATTTACTAAATTACTAGGAATCCTGAGTGCTGAATGGTGCAACGATAGTAATTTATTAGATTGCAAGCAATCCAGCAGAAAAAATAGCATCGTCTGCAGCGGGCTTTACTTCTCGACGCCTCGGTGAGTCAATTCTTGCACTGGCCTAGATTTTCATTTTCTGATTAATTGTTAACCAGAGGACCAGAGGTGAGTCGACTCTCTGTCTCTTCTCAGATAATAACATCGAAAAAGATGAAAAACCGGGCCACTGTAGTGAAAATGCTAAAAGTGAGTAGCTGTGTCTTTCTCTAATCGTCCCATTAAGCCCGTATCAGACTACAGACTATCACACAATGCCAGGCAACAGGCAACAGGAACAGGGAATAAAATTTCTGACGCGTTGGATTGGTTGGTAGAAAATTTCTGACGAATCCAACGCGTCAAAAATTCTATTCTCTATTCCTATTGCCTGTTGCCTGGCATTGTGTGATAGGCTTGAGGATTGGGATTGGGATTAGATTGAAATTTGACCAATCAGAGTAAAACTTACTGAATTTGAGATTAGTAAACTTTACTGTGATTGGTTAAATTTCAATCTAATCCCAATCCCAATCCGTAGTCTGATACGGGCTTTAGAAAGAGACAAAGCCGCTCGCTCTTAGCAGTTTTACTGCATTGTAAGATACAGAATTGATCCCCTGTAGTTTAGTTAAAATGCTAAAAGTGAGCTTTGTGATCTCTTTCTAAGGGGAAGGCTAGAAAGAGTTGCAAAGCTACTTACTTTTAGCATTTTAACTATATAGCGTGAGATACGGAATATGACCCTCCGATGTGCAAATGCTGAACGCAGCAGGACCGCGCGGATCAAGGCAGATCCGCGCCAATCACATCCCGTCGCGCGCTCCCTTTCTCCCTGCCCGTCTCACGCGCACGCATCGGAGCACGCTTGCGTCTTTCGATCGATGTTGACGTGGGTCATGTTTATGTCTCGCGTTGTTTTTGTCTCCCGCGCAAAAACGCAGAACGGTTCTCCCGGAGGGAGGTTAAGAAGGTCCGACGGCATCCCCGCGCTTCGAGGCCCCGTCGATTCCGCGTTACGTCGCCGCGCGCGATAGTCGGATGAGCGCGGCCGCGCGACTATGGCAACGATAGAGGTCACATTCCCGTCGGACGGGCTGCCCGGGAAAATCCTGAAATGGAGGATTCGCTCGGACACGATGGTCGCGGCGGGCAGGATACTGCTGCTGTACCAGAACGCGACGCCGGCCGCCGCCGATGACGAGGAGGCCAAGGAACCGGAGCAGAAACTGCGGGCCACGAACTTCGGCCGCGTCAAGCGGCTCCTGGCCAAGGAGGGCGATGTCATTCAGCCTGGGTATGCATCCTTCCCGCAATTTTTGTTTGGACGACGGTCACACGGATAATTGTCGCGCCGTTGTGCTCCGAGATCTGCAAGCTAGACGGTTTTGAGCATCTTCGAATGAAGAATACGCACGTCTTTGTTTTGCGCTAGGCAAGGATTTTTTAAACATCTTTTTACACCCGACACGTTGCGTCCGTGATGTAAACTGCGACGGAATTTCCCCCTTGAGCCAAGCGCCTTCTGCTCCATTTCTGAAAATAGAAAAGGATAGAAGTCTCTTCCTTTGAGATAAATGTTTGACAATTCAGTGTCGCAATCTTTTTAAATTGAAGATTTTATACGACGTCGTACGTGAAATATTCTTCAAACGAGGCAGCTTTGTGTTGCGTTGCTTATTTAAAATGTACTTGAATTTTGTGATATCTGCATAGTCGGTTAGTATTCCAGGCAAGTGATAGCTCTGCTGGAAGGCTGTACACATCCCACTGTGATGATAGACCTGTGCGCCGAGTGCGGGGCAGACTTGAGGGTGCAGGAAACCAGCAAGGATGGAAACGCGGCTGGAGTGTCTCAGGCCAGCGTGCCTATGGTACACAGCATACCGGAGCTAAAGGTTTGCCCGGAATTGGCAGAGAAAATTGGAAAAGAGGACGAGGAGCGCCTTCTGACGGACCGCAAATTAGTTCTGCTTGTGGATCTCGACCAAACGATTGTTCACACCACGAACGATAATATTCCACCTAACTTGAAGGTGCATGGACATTTTATTGTTTATCTCTAAGTTTCCACAAAGGCCTGTGTCCACGATGCTAGGAACTTGATCCAAGTTCTAGTTCCGAGAAATGTGCTATTCCATAAAGGCTACAAGTTGATTGATCATACATGTCTCGGAAGTAAAACTTGGACCAAGTTCTGGCATCGTGGACACAGGCCTTAAGAGCTGTCGAATTTGTGAGCGTCACTGCAGAACAATCAAAATGTGTTTATTGTGTTTTTCTTTTCTTTCCAAAGGATGTTTTTCATTTTCAATTGTACGGGCCGAACTCCCCGTGGTATCACACCAGACTAAGACCGAACACCCGGCACTTTCTCTCGGAGATGAGCCGTTTGTACGAGTTGCATATTTGCACTTTTGGAGCGAGAATTTACGCGCACACCGTTGCGTCATTGTTAGATAAGGATGGAGTCCTGTTCTCCCATAGGATACTTTCTAGAGACGAGTGCTTTGATCCAGCATCCAAAACCGCAAATCTCAAGTATTTATAAATCATCTTGAATTTTACACAAATAATCAGAGGTGAATATTTTAACATTAATTCTGTATTATATTATTGCAGAGCCTTGTTTCCGTGCGGCGACGACTTAGTGTGTATTATAGATGACAGGGAAGACGTGTGGCAAGGGTGTGGAAATCTGGTTCAGGTTAAACCCTATCATTTTTTCCGTCACACTGGAAATATTAATGCACCACCGGGCTTAGAAAAGGCTGACGTATCGCGTTCGCTGGAGCCAGCGAGTGCGAATGAATGTACAAATGATACGCAAAGTAAGGATAGCAAGAATGATGCGTCCGAACCATTAAATGAAGCCGAACAGTCATTAGACAATCCTGTGAAAGAAACAAATCATGAAGATGAGAAAGAAGAGAAAGATGAGAAGAAAGAAGAGAGAGATGAAAAAGAAGAGAAAGAGGAGAAGATTGAGGACGAGGTGACAGAAACGAAGAATGGGAAAGACGAAAATACCAAAGCAAATGCTGAAGAGAATACTGAATCCAGTGTTCAATCTGATGCCGCGAAGGAGGACGACAAAACTGATAAAGAAGTATCTGATACGGAAGTGGTACCGTCTGCGAAAGCAGACACAGACAGTAAGCAAGCGACGCCAAAGCAGGAAAATAATATAATAGATGAAGATGATGATGATTATCTGTTATACTTGGAAGATATTCTCCGGAGAATTCACACGGAATTTTACGCCACGCTGGACCAAGAGAACGCTCGAAAATCTTTGCGGGATATAATCCCACGGGTGCGTTCTCAAGTTCTCAAAGGATTATACTTGACTTTCAGTGGTTTGATACCCACTCATCAAAAGCTTCACCAAAGCCGTGCATATAAAGTCGCGAGAGCCTTCGGAGCGGAAGTAACTCAAGTAAGGAGTTTTTGTTATCTCTATAATATTTTATTGTTTTTCTATGAATAACAACAGAATTTTGTCAGGATTTGACAGAGAAAACTACGCATCTGGTTGCCATTAGAAAGGGTACGGCGAAAGCAAATTCAGCTAGAAAAGACGCAAACATTAAAATCGTAAATTCTGATTGGCTGTGGACGTGCGCAGAACGCTGGGAGCATGTCGACGAACGCCTGTTTCCTCTCACATCACAGGTATAAATGTCACAATTCTGCAACATTAAGCGTTATTTAAGCACTTATCTTTATAATATATGTTTTTTTAAACGCGTATGTTGCTTTGGCATTAATAATGAACGTGAAGTATTACAGGCACGCGGATCGAGAGTACCACCACCACACTGTAGTAGTCCAGAACGCGTTGAGGATGTAGAAAGCGACAGTACAAATTCTTTTGCCAACTCTATTAATCCATTAATGTCATTCACTCAAGAAGAGATCGAGTTTATGGATAAGGAAGTAGACGAGGACATGGAAGATATGATTTTCGAAGATGAGGAAGATGCGGACGATGCGGAAGAATGTGGTACGAGGATACGTCGTCGGAGCTCCGATTCTGAAGATTCTGTGAATGGTAACGCCATTTTAGGCGATTTGTTAATATGCGACAAGTTCTTTCTTTAATTTTATGTATTGTGTAATACAGGAAACATTTAAAATCGGGATACATATACTGGAACATTTAAAATTATCATTTTATGATGTCAAAGTATTTCGCATGAGTCACAGTTTCTAAACTGCAACTTGTATAAGAAGGTCAAGCTTCTTGATCATTCTGGAGGAAATTTATTTTAAAAATGTACTTATTGCTCGAAAGTTTCTATTCTCCAAGGAGCAACACAGTATGGCGATTTGTTTGCCACAAGATTAAATTGTATATTTTGTAGACTGCTTTATAGAATGGAATTTTTTAATTCCATTCTTAACGTTATATATGTAGGATGTCAAGACCGGGAATGAAACGTGGATTTTGGTTTGACAAATTACGAGGCGATTACTTCAACATTGAGCTTTTCTCAATTTAAAAAATAAATGATAATTATCTGAAATATATCTCAACTTACCAAAAAGTATAAGAATATGGTTGTAGAATTAAACACAATTTTCCTTATGTTACAGATACAGGTGAATTAGGTATTTCCAAAAGAAAGAAGAGAAAAATTTACAATGGCAACTCTGACAGAGGTTCTTCCAAGGATAGAGATGACAATTATGAGAGTGATGACGATGATAATCGCGACAGTGACGACGACGACAATAACGACAGCGATGACGATCTCGTTGCACGTTTCAGGAAAGGGGGAGATTTGCCAGACGACTTGGATCTAGGCGATAACTCGCAAGATTCCGTGGATGATCTCGAAGAGGATAATGAAGATGACAGAGAATGGAATGCATTGGGTGCTGCACTCGAAAGAGAGTTCCTTTCCGAGTGACGTGTATTTGACTATTGGATAATTTACTCAGGATCATGTTATTACGTTATTCAAAAATTTCAAGTTCGATAGCCGAAGCAGGGTTATTGATAATAATAAACGTTACACTTGTGTATACTCTGATAAAATCAAGCAAGATGTAGAAATATTAAAGATTTCAAAAGAGTAGGTCTTGAAGTAGTTGTGATCTATGAAACAAGAACATATAAAAATGAAGAAAAGATTTTCTCTATATCGAAGAATATTCTACATTGAATTTTCAAATTTTGCACATATATTTAAGCGTATGATTAGTCGTTAGCCTTATGTGAGAGAAAAATATAATTATTCTTCTTTAAGAACAATTTGTGGATAGTATTGTAGCACTGTGAATTACACACGTGCCATTGAGTACACTTGCGAGACATTTTCTCACGCAAGAGAAAATCCGTCGAAAATCGAATTTGATCTTTATGTATATACATATAAATAGAATATTAGAGAATGAGAAATTTATTTTCTAATAAATTTTTAGAGCTACCGCTTAATCAACGTTAATAATCATGAATAAGCTTTTGTATCGAGATCCCAGAATGTATCGGAAAATTTGAAAATAAAAACTTGTAGTACATACAACTTGCCGCGTGCGGTTTCCGTTGAATATTTACAATTTATTAATTATTAAATTTCCAAATACAAGTGGTACTTTATACCAGTGAAACAGTGTCTGGCTGCGGGTCATCGGGATTCTCATAATACTTGAGATAGCTTTTCTTGTGAGTGAAGTCACGCGTACCCTCCAGCTTGCCTCTTCGTGGTGCCTTCGAGTAATCGAAGGTCGAATCCACTTTGCCATATAATTTGCTCTCTTCATCTATGTCCTCCCTAATTTTACAAAGAGAGATACGAAGATTTAAACGTTCTTACGCGTGTCAAATGTTCCTAGGTAGTCTCGTAAATCTTTCAACGGTACACATACCTATATCTAGTCGCGACAACTTCCTTTCCTGTGACTGGATCGACTATGTCGCCTAGAGGATAGACCACCTTGACAACCTGCACAGAGATTTTCATTTCTTAAAAACGCAAAGACCATTCATCAAACTTGATCTATTCGAATCTAATCTTTTTCGCGCAATGGCACCGCGTCGGCAGCAATCGAACGTTGCTGCGTAGGACAGCACGTACCTCGTGCGTAATCAGGCGCGTTAATTTCTCTGGTAACGTCTGTATCAAAATCACATCGCCCGTTTTGCACAACTTGTTCGGATCGTGGGCATAAACGAAGTAGTTCTCTCTGAAGTACTGTTGAACAACAGGAGAAAATATAACCTCAATTAGAAATTTGTCCGAGTAAATGTTATTATATGATGTTTAGTACATATGTATGTATATATTAACCATGTGAAGATAATCGTCGAATTGCAATCGTGGTACTCTCACTTTAGCGGCGTTCTGTTTCGACGAAGGCACGCACGTACCTAGAAAAAGCCGCAACGCGGCCTTACCTACTCCTTTCGCGGCCATCTTTAAATTAACGACCGTATGCTTTCTGTTCCTGCACTGATGAACTAGTGCAGTAAAGTAGAATCAGAGAGAGAAAGAGAGAGAGAGAGAGAGATTCAAAGTTTGTAAGATTGCGAAATAAAAAATATACTTGACGTTTTTTACATTTTTAATGTTCTTTTAGGCTTAAATAGTTTTTGCGCTGCTGAATCTTTTTATTGGTTTTTACGTCTAAAATAATACCAGGATAAGTTGCGGACCGCATAGCAGAACGTTTTTATACTTGAAACACTCGGGTCAGAAGTCTAATGAGAAAGATATTGGTATTTGAAATTTTCAATTTTTTAATCGTGAGCAATTTGAATTTGGCTTTATAAAATTACAAAATTCTTCCACACGATTACAGTACACGTAAAAACAAAGCGGGGGGTTCACGACTTTATATAAAAAACGAAGAGAAATTAAAAATATCGCTTTATAAGTAATTGTAGTTAGGCTTCACATGCTGATATTTTTAATTTCTCTTCGTTTTTTATATAAAGTCGTGAACCCCCCC